ATGGGGCGTGGAGAGAAGCGCGCCCCCCTCCCTGGAAGCGATGTCCGCCTGCTCCATGAAGTACAGCGATCGCCACCTCGCTGGCCTCTCCGCAGGCCTCCCCGACCGCGTCGAACTCATCGGCGCGGGCTCTCTCGGCTACGGGACCGGCCCCAGCTTCGGCTGAGGGCTGACAAGCTGCCGAGCCCAAATCACTGTGAGAGTCGTGATTTCTTGTTGGTTTTCAAAAATCTCTCTCTGCATGTAGAGAAGTGGCAGTCGTGATTTCTTGTTGGTTTTCAAAAATCTCTCTGCATGTAGAGAAGTGGTAGTCGTGATTTCTTGTTGGTTTTCAAAAATCTCTCTCTGCATGTAGAGAAGTGAGTGTGAGAGTCGTGATTTCTTGTTGGTTTTCAAAAATCTCTCTCTCTGCACGACGGAAGGAGTTTTTGTATCCGCTTTCTCTCTTTTATTTGGAAGCGAGGCGGCCGGTGGCGGCGGAGCTCCGGGCGGTGGTGCAGTTGAAGGGACTTGGAGCACTTGGAGTGCAGTCATTAACCGCACATCCAGGGCCGGGGGGCTAAGAAGCACACCCAGCGGGCCGGATGATTGGCATGGACGAAGCGCTACTTGCTCAGCTGAAAGGGGGGGCTTGGACTGGGCAGCATTGTAGATCCTTGGGCGAGGCTAGGGGCGGCGAGGGTGGTGGAGCGGGCGGTCTGTCAGCGCTAAACCGCACCCGCCGGGGGGCGGGCCGGATCTCCACGTGTTCCCAGACTGCCCCATTGGAGGTAGGCCGCTCGGAGGGAGGGGAGGAGACGACTATCTCCGCAAGAACCTCAGAGTTACGAGCGACCTCCCCTTCCCCCTTACAGGCCGAGGGGTGTGTGTGTGTTGTGTGTGTGTGTTGGTTTGTTTGTGTGAGGGCAGGGCAGGGCAGGGCGGCGGCGAGCGGCGAGCGGCGTCTGCGAGGTCGGCGGCGAAGAGAGGCGATGGTGACGTGCCACACGGTGGCAGCGTTCACGGCAGCAGCGCCGATGGCGGTCCCGCGGCGGCGGCGGCGGAGTGTCGATATTAGCGGGTAGTCGTGTGTATGTGGCGTGGTGTATTGTGTCGTGTCCGATTTTAGCTCCGAGAGTAGAGGCCTTTCGCAGACGCAGTTCGAGGTGGTGTCGAGGAGTGGTGTCGAGGGTGTCGAGGGTGTCGAGCGTGTCGAGCGTGTCGAGCGGGTGTCGAGTGTTGTCAAGGTGTTTAGCGTCTAAGGTGTCGAGGTATCCAAGGTGGCAGGATGCAGTTGCAGCCCATAACAAAACTTGGGCCGCAGCTGCAAAGCTGTTTCATCGCTTAGTTGCAGCCTCTCAAAGTTGCACCCCTGTTGATGTAGCACAACCTGTGAGCACAACCAGTTTACTCTGTGGACATTTGAGGACATCAAGCTCACTAGTGCCAGGAGTCATTGCCACTGCACAAGGTGCTGTGCAGGCGCAGCACCTAAGGCTACAGCACACCCCATGCAGCAGCGTCGCCGCGCAGCGTCGTTCGCCCCTGCAGCGTCACCGGCGCACAAAGCGCAACTGACCACAGCGCTCATGGCACAAGGCTGGTGCCATGAGTCAGTGGACATATTGCCACTGCACAAGGTGCTGTCCAGCAGCTAAGGGCTACAGTACCCCATCGCAGCAGCGTCGCCGCCGCTGCCAGCGTCGCCGTTGCAGCGTCGCCAGTGCACAAAGCGCAATGGTCCAATGGACCACAGGTCCGCACTCATGGCACAAGCTCACTGGTGTGAGGATTCATTGCCACTGTACAAGGTGCTGTGCAGCACCTGAGGGCTACCTGAGTACTGCCATGGTTGCTACATTGGTCATTGCAGGGGTGCAACTGAGCTGCAACTTGAGCTAGAACTTGAGAGGCTGCAACTGAGGGATGAAAGTACTGGCAGCCAAGTATTGCTGCTGCAACCC